ATGTAATTACCTTGTAATCTTTAATGTGGTTTGTTGTTGCATTGCCTTGCCCATTGAAACTATTCAGTTGGGTTCTTGCGTTAAGCTATAGGAACAGGTTATCACTGGAAGGCAGGCTGAGGGACCCAACACATCCAGGGGTAGAGCTACAAGTAGGGGTTCTGCTGGCATTCAGTCTCACCCACACAGAGTGATGACCATGACAGCATGACAAATGGATCCAGTTGCCACCACTAGGGAGTGTGAAGAATGAAAATCTCCTCCTTGATTTAGGTGTCCAGGTCACTTATCTGACTTGGACCTGAAATACTACCTGAAGTGTTTGCTTTCGTGGAAGTTGGAAAACTTAGAAATCCAAGGCATCGGAGCAGAGAAGAACCCCTGCAATGGTTACCCTCAGATCAAGTTGTCTTTGGTTGAGGTTGCTGCTCTGGAAAGCTGCTGAGAAGCATTACATAACACATCAACCATATGCTCCTTTTACAGCAAGGGGTGAGTGTGCTAAAGAATCCCCAAAGCCATGTGTTGCTGTTTCTGTGTTATGCTATAGTGTGCTTCTAGCTATTGTACCTAATTAAGACTGTGTGCTGTGCTGCTATTCTGGTGCCATTGAGAGAACTATATGCAGTTGGAGACTGTGCTACAGTGTTGAGCGCAGTGGGGTCAGTCTATACTGGGGGGAGGGGGTCTATACTGGGGTGTCTGTATTGAAGGGTTAGGCTAAGAAGAGTGTCTGTACCAGGGGCGGGCTGACCATTTGGAAACTCGGGCACTGGGGTCAGTAGGGGGCCCCATGAGATGCCCCTGGTACCTTTTTCATAGGCTTTTTTGAGTTTGGGCAAGGACACAGGGGCCCCATTATCCCTTATTGAGTTGTCAGTCCGCCCCTGGTCTGTACTGAAGGGTCTATACTGGGGAGGGTCTGTACTGGGGCTGTCTGTACTAAGAGGTTAGGCTGGGAAGAAGGTATCTACAGAGGGGTTATGCTGGAGAGGGTGTCCGTACTGGGGGTGTCTGAACAGGTCTGTACTATGGGGATCTGTACTGAGGGTTTAGATTGTGAGAGGGGGACTGTACTGAAGGGTTAGCTTCGGAGGAGGATCTGTATTGGGGGGGTGGGGGGGGGGGTAGTACTGAAGGATCAGGATGGGAGGAGGGTCTGTACTGAGAAGGGTCTGTACTGAAGTACTAGGTTGGAAGGGGGAATCTGCATTAGGGTGGTCTGTATTGAGGAATTTGGCTGAGAAGGGGGTCTGCACTGGGGAAACTGTACTGAGGGTTAGGCTGGGAGAGGTGGTCTGCACTGAAGGATTACTTTTGGCTTGGGGTGGTCTATACTGAGGGGGTCAATACTAAAGATTTAGGCTGGGGAAGGTCTGTACTGGGGCTAGTTTGTACAAAGGGGTAAGCTGGGAAGGGGATCTGCACTGGGGGTTGTGTACTAAAAGGATTAGGCTGAGAAGGTGGTCTATACTGGAGGGGTGGATTGTACCACACGATTAGGTAGGCTGAGGGGGGGGGGGGGGGGGCTGTACTGAAATGGTGGGCTAAGGAGGAGTGGGATTCAGGGCTGTGTGGGAAGATCTATACTGGGGAGAGGTGAAAGCTATTGATTCAGATCTGTACAGTGGGGGATATGGGCTTGGGGTGCATTTGTACTGACGGAGGGGGGGGGGGGATTTTTTATTGTATTTTTGGCAGTGGCCTGTATGTTACTCACTTCTTACCTCTGCTTTCTCTGGGTTGCCCACTCCTGAGCCCTGCACACTGTGCATTATATATACCTGAAAGTGTAGGTACAGATACTGTGGCATATGTGTGCAGTGTACACAATGACTAGGCTCAGACTTTATTTAACCACGACCATGCATGCCCCTCCTACTGTTGGCACAGTTTGTTCTTTTAATTGTTTTTTTTTTTCTATGTGGAATTAGACTTTGAAAAATATTCGGCCCCAAGTACCTGATATGCTAGGTACTCTACTGGCTGTGTCCCTGTTGCAGAACTTTCATCACTTTCTGTCTGATAAAAACTTTATGACTGTGACAGTAATAAGAGGAGAAATCTCTTCAATGATGCCCTGGATAGCCATTTAAGTGTGCTTAAATTGTAAAAAAAAAATTTATAACTTCTATCAGGTTTTTTTTGCCATTTTTGTTCCATTGGGAAAATTTTCTTTTGACTTCCTGTCCCACAAGAGTGATTGAATACTGTCTGTGACACTTTTTTTTTAATTTGCACTAACATTTAATTTTTCAGGACAAGCTTCTGGGGTATGTGCTCTTCATCAAGGCCCAAGCCCAAGCAGTACGAATTACATAAAGTTTTAGCAGAATGTTACAGTAAGACAATCTCTGAGGAAAAATAAAACACAAACACGAGTACACAGCCATGGGAATTAAACTAGGATAGTTAGTGAGATAAGACAGAGAGCACTATAGATTGGGGGGAGTAACACCGAGCATGTCCCTTAGCCAAAACAGGAAGTGAGGGGAAACCCCCTCCATAGTGAGGAAAACCCGGGGTGACGCCAGGACTAATGTCCCCAATGGAAGATTTTCCCCTCTATTTCTGTTCTGGTGTCAGCCCAAAATTTTGGATTACTTTCGATAAAAATGGTAAACAGGGTAATAAGAGAGGGTCAGTCTCCCTAATGGGGGCACAGACAGAAGTAAAAACCTGTAGGCAGGTGCAGCCTGTACTCCCCACTGTAGGTGGCGCTAAACCGCAGTGGCAATACAGAGGGGGGAAGGAAGTTATGAAGAACTTAGTTCCTCAATGACTTCCTGCTGTCACCAGGAGAACAGCTGTCCGATTGGATGCTGAAGCCCCTTGTGACCTATGCAGCCATCTTGGGTGAGAACAGAGCTTATTTAAGCCTCTGGCCCCCTGACTTGGTGAGCATTTTGATAATGGTTAGTGCAGAGACATGTTCATGTCTGTCAGGGACAGCACTTAGCAGCAGGGAAAAATTCCAGAGGAGTAGGAAAAGTACAAGGACTACGCTATCTTCATTTTGGAAGCCTCCCAGTTGGGTTGGACTGGCTAGGCTGCATTCCTGCGCCTTGTGGTAGAGGTTATTGGCATCGCTTCAAGAACCACTGCTACTACTTCTACCCCTGCAAGTGGCTCCGGGCGGTTGTGCTCCCCCCGTTGAACCTAGATGTACTTTGTTGTAACATTTTGCAATATAGAGTTCATATTACTCATCCTCTGTGTGATTCTTGCTGCCAACTCACCATGATCCACCTTGCTCTAATCCCTCTCTGCTCTGTCCAAAAGTAAAAACAAACTTTTACCTTTAGCTAGCCTTTAAAACCCAGCAAGGTTTCTAATTGTCCTACACTCAATCCAAAGCTAAAAAAAAATATATATATCTGGACTTATATGATGAAGGAAACCTATTTTATGAGAAATATGTTGGCTGACTTTTCTGACCTCCTCCTTCTCCAAATTCTGATTGCCTGGCTGTCACTGGCACCATCCTAAAGCAAGCTTATGGTAGGTCAGTACTCCTAATCTCCATACTTTTTTGGGGACACCATTGGATCAGCATGACAGCCAGACACCTGGCATTTTCAGAAAGAGATGTCAGCAGCAGCCTGGGTGGTTCTCTTAGAACAGGTTTTCTTTTCATATACAGTTAATGCAGGCCATAGATGGTTTGATTATCGGCCGATTTTTTGTCCGAAAAATTAAACATCATTCATTCTATAAACCGATGTTGCCACCAATGATTGCGAAAATCAGCCGTTTTTTACGAATTTTCCAGCATGACTGAAATGAAGAGGAACCGCAAAAATCGTCCGATGCCATTGCCCCACTAACAGTGCGAAAATCAGCCGATTATTCTTTCAGACGAAAAATCGTCTGATAAACGAACCGTCTATGGCCTGCATAAGTCAGTAAAAGTCGTGTGTTATCCAGGTGCAGTCTCCCTCCGCCCATCTAATACACTTGTCTGTCTATTCAGTACAGCCAGTGCACATTGCCTTCACACAACCTCTGGGAGCATACACTGGAGGTAAGACTTTACTTTTCATCAATTTTCATTTGATTAAACTCACCTTATTTATAAGAATGCAGAACGTGTTGTGTCTTTAAAACTCCCAGTTTGACCAGGGACATATACTTATATTCCATCTCCAAAAGGAAAAAAGAATTAAATAAAGACAGCAAAACAGTATCAGTGACTTTCAGATAGATTCACACCACAACCTGTACTTTAGTTACATACATTGCATTTGTGATGTGTTATTACTGCATTTTTAAAAAAAGATTGCAGTTGACAATTAAAAGAAAAATAAGTTTCTTCTGACAGTGTTTGTCTTGACCCATTTTATAGTTGAAAATTGCTTCTGAGCATAGCTATTAAAAATATTATCAAACACTTAACTGCCCAAACCCACTAATGTTACTTTGTTTCAATATTTTTATTAAAGGGGTATAAAACTCAAAACAATAATGTAATTTATTACAGCTTGTCAATCATTAGATGTCGTGGCTGTATTAGTGGTGTTTTTATTTTTATTTTTTTAGGCTTTTTTCCCTCTGTTTTCACCTGGTGATCTGGCAAGTAACACACCTCCTATATTAGAGTGCCTCCACTCTGGATGAAGGAGCACAGGGGGCATATTGGCACAGCAGCATTGTCAGTCTGGGGGAAGGGAGTGTTAGAATGACTAGCAGATTTAGTTACTCTAAACCAGAGGTCTCCAATCTTTCCAAACAAAGGGCCAGTTTACCGTCCTTCAGATGTTAGGGAGGCCGAACTTTGTCCAGTAGCCTGATGTCAGTGGATATAATCAATGAGCCATCATTGGTATTAGTGGAAGTAATACTGCCTCACAGGGGCGGACTGACAACTCATGGGGCCCCCGGGCAATAGGGGATCATGGGGCCCTGTGTCCTTGCCCACACTCAAAAAAACCTATGAAAAAAGTACCAGGGGCATCTCATGGGGCCCCCTACTGACCCCGAGCCCTCGGGCAGTGCCAGAGTTTCCAAATGGTCAGTCTGCCCCTGCTGCCTCATCATTGGTATTAATGGAAGGAATAGGACCTCATTTCTGGTGTCTGTCAGGGGAAGATTCCAAATCACTGGTGTTTGAGAAATCGTGCCTTGTATCAATGGGAGGAGCAGTGCCCCAATGTTGGTGTCAGTGGGAGAAAAGAATGTCCCATCATTGGTGTCAGTGGGAGGAATATTGCGCCAGGGGCTGGATAATGGCAAGCAAAGGGCAACATTCGCCCTTGGACCACAGTTTAGAGACCACTGCTCTAAACAAATTGAAGCCAAACTTCAGCTCACATTTTATAAGCAGTTACAGTAAGAGTTTTCTTCTTTTGGGATAAAGGTTTTTCAATGAATAAAAGCTGATCATTGTAAGTATCTCTGTCAATGTTAAATGGCTTTTCTCATTTGCAGGCCAGCCTGTTCTGTTGAAAAACAACTAACTGGCCAGATCACCAGGTAAAAATAAGGGAAAAAGAAGAAAATGAATGCAGCCACCACATCTAAAAATAAGTAAGCATAAATATAATAAATGATTGCTTTTGGGCTTAATACCATTTTAGGTTAAAAAAGGGTATAAATATAACACGGTACAAAGTGCATTTATGTAATGGATTCATAGAATCAAATGCAGTTCTCATAATCCCAGGTCATGCCATTCCAATCTAAAATTAAAGCAGTATGGCCAAAGCTCTTTTGGCCATACTTCTCCTGTGGGTCACAGGAGTGCACTTAGTTCTGCACACATCTGTGACTCAGGTTCAGCTGGCAGCAGGCTGAAGTCAACTGTCGGATGATATCAGAGAGCTGGTCCAGCCTCTGCAAGGATCTCTACAATAATGTCAGTATCCACCCACATGCCTGACGAGCAGCTGGCTCAGCCTCTCCGCATGCCACTGAGAGCCTGACCCAGCCGCTCCGACACCCTCCACAGTCTGGCATTGCAGTGAGCATTGGAGGAGCAGAGCACAGAGCGGTGACTGACAGTTACTGCTTTGTGCTCAGAGCGCACCGGAGAACTGAGCAATCAGCAGTCGCTCAGTTCTCAGTGTAGAGCCAGCAGGGGATATCTGCAGCCATCTAGGTTAGTATGGATATTTGGGTTTTTTTTACTTTTTCTTGCACTTCTCTTCTAATGTTAGAGTTTGCTCACCACAGCCTAATGATTAATTTTTGCTAGTAATATAAGAAGTGACAATCACACTAGAAGGTAAATTAAAAAAACTATCAAATTATAGCAGTCAATAGGAAAAAATGCAATACAATTTTACTACAAATGTTGCAACAAATATCCAGCTAGCAAACCCAATTTGATCTTTCTGGGAGATAAGCAAAATTAAAGTGGTATTAAACCCAAAAGCAATTCTTATATTGCAGATCACCATTTTTAGATGTAGTGGCTGCATTTGTTTTCTTTTTTGGGCTTTCTTGCCTTTATTTTCACCTAGTGATCCAGCTAGTAAGTTTGTTGTTTTTCAACAAAACAAGCTCTCCTGCAGATGTAGCAGTTACAGGGAAGACACACCCCCTTTACCACAAACAGGGGTGTTTACGATGATCAGCTTTTATGTATTCATGGAAAACCTTTATTTCAAAAGAAAAAGAAAATGATGTAACTGCAGTGTGAGCTAAATCTACTAGTGCATCTAACACTCCCCTCACCTCCGACTGAAAATACTCTATCTGCTGGCCCCCCCGTGCTCATTCATCCAGAGTGGGGGCATTCTAATACAGAAGGTGTGTTACTGGCCAGATCACCAGGCAAAAACAGAGGGAAAAAAAAGCCTAAAAAAGAAAACGAATACAGCCACCACATCTGATGATTGGCAAGCTGCGATATATTACAATTTTGGTTTTGAGTTTAATACCACTTTAAATAAGATCTTTGGGTTTTACTTATGAAGCCCAGTTGCAGCCATGAAAGTATGGAAAGGAAGAAACTATGAATGAAGAAAAATCCAAAATAACAGGAAATATAATAACATCAGGAAACAACTCACAGAGGATATCGCCATCACGTTGGACAAAAGACTGCTATACTTTCAGAGGTAATATATTGTAAGTCTATAGGGTGTAGTACCCAGGCTCTATTTTCTTGTAGATTTATTGAAGGTGTATACTTTGTAAACTAGGATTTTTCCATACTGACGTTGTCTATTCTGTCTTTGTACTACTTCAGAAAGATTAGGAGTGTTGGAACTTTTCCATTTACTTGTAATGGTTAGTCTAGCAAGAAATAACACTATATTGCCAAAAGTATTGGTCGGCCTGCCTTTACACGCACATGAACTTTAATGGCATCCCAGTCTTAGTCCGTAGGGTTCAATATTGAGTTGGCCCCGCCCTTTGCAGATATAACAGCTTCAACTCTTCAGGGAAGACTGTCCACAAAGTTTAGGAGTGTGTCTATGGGAATGTTTGACCATTCTTCCAGAAGTGCATTTGTGAGGTCAGGCACTGATGTGAGAAGGCCTGGCTCACAGTCTCCGCTCTAATTCATCCCAAACGTGTTCTATTGGTTTGAGGTCAGGACTCTGTGCAGGCCAGTCAAGTTCCTCCACCCCAAAATCGCTCATCCATTTCTTTATGGACCTTGCTTTGTGCACTGGTGTGCAGTCATGTTGGAACTGGAAGGGGTCATCCCCAAACTGTTCCCACCAAGTTGGGAACATGAAATTGTCCAAAATGTCTTGGTATGCTGACACCTTAAGAGTTCTCTTCACTGGAACTAAGGGGCCAAGTCCAACCCCTGAAAACAACCCCACACCATAATCCCTCCTCCTCCAAACTTTACGCTGGGCACAATGCAGTCAGGCAAGTACCGTTCTCCTGGCAACCCCCAAACCCAGACACATCCACTGGATGGACAGAGAAGTGTGATTTGTCTCTCCAGAGAACATGTCTCCATTGCTATAGAGTCCAGTGGCAGCGTGCTTTACACCTCTGCATCCAACGCTTGGCATTGCACTTGATGATGTAATGCTTGGAAGCAACTGCTCGGCCATGGAAACCCATTCCATGAAGCTCTCTACGCACTGTTGTGCTAATCTGAAGGCCACACAAAGTTTGCAGGTCTTTAGCTATTGACTCTGTAGACAGTTGGCGACTTCTGCGCACAGTGTGCTTTAGCATGTGCTGACCTCGCTCTGTCATTTTACGTGGCCTAGCACTTCAAGCCTGAGATGCTGTTGTTCCCAGTTGCTTCCAGTTTATTACAATACCGTTGAATATATAGTAGCAAGGATATTTCACGAATGTACTTATTGCACAGGGTGGCAATCTATCATGGTACCACGCTTGAATTCACTGAGCTCCTGAAAGCGACCCATTCTTCCACAAATGTTTGTAGCAGCAGTCTGCATGCCTAGGTGCTTAATTTTACACCTGTGGCCATGGAAGTGATTGAAACACCTGAATACAATGATTTGGAGGGGTGGCCCAATACTTTAGGCAATATAGTGTATGTGCTACTATAGTCCTGTACTCATATGGGTACATACGGGTTCTCCTGTACTCAAAAGGACCATTGGGGGGAAAAGTGGAGTTAGGTTGCCTATCAGAGTGGAAATCAGTTTCAGCACCGTTCCAAAAACTTCTGATATTCCTACTGATTGGGAGTACATGGAAAATATTCCCAAATGTTTACACTCTCTCCAATATAGTGGGGACTGGGGGGGGGGGGTGTAGAGTCTGGAAATAGGGTCATGTAATATGCAAAAATTTTAAAAGGTGCAAATACCAAGCGCAATGAGATTCCAGGGGATAAGTAGATAACCACAGTATGAGCAGCTCCAACTACTCATCTGACCAGCAATGAGACATGAGCACAAAACATCAAATAAAGGAAAGTCCCCAACCCTGTGGAAGTTAATAGAGTCATAAGCCCAGGAATAGTTAAACTCAAAGTTCACTTTAATGTTAGGTTAAAAAGCATGCCATGTAGGAGTGCCCAGATTGATACATCACCAAGCCAGTGGAGAGGAGAAACACATATTCCAAGAAGCTGGAGGATGACACATAAGCTCAGCCAGGAGCCTCAGGATAGTGGGAATGGTGTGTAGATGGCAGTCGCTGGGATCACTGAGATGGCGCATCTGCAGGAAGTCATGTGTCCTAGATTCAGTTATGTAATACGCCTGGCAACAGACCACTCTAACAAGGGCTGGTGAAGGCAAACTAGAAGCCTAGGGGAGTACTCAAACCATGTCAAACCAAAGGAGAGAAGCCAGCCATCATGATAACATGTTTCAGGGACTTGCCTTTTCCTCAGATTAGGAGCATTTCTGTGAATATGGTTACAATTAGAGATGAGCGAATCATTCAAAAATTCGATTCGGCTGATTCGGCGAATTCGCGGAATAAATTCGATTTGAGTCGAATATATTCGCTGCGAATTTAACATATAAAAAGGGTGTTTCTAGAACACTAATATAAAGAGAAAAGAATACTGTCAGTCAGTATGACATGCAGATGAGTGCCGTCGATCTTAGAATCACCGCACACTTCACTCATTTGGGCAGTCACGGGCCAAAAACCAGAGTGTGGAGCCACAGTGTGGCGGTGGAGGCAGCAGCAATGGGAGGCCATACAGCACCCTATGAAAAAATGGAACCCACCAGCAGTGTGAGGAGACCTGAAAGTGGCACATGGACAGAGTGTGGCGATGGAGACAGCAGCAATGGGAGGCCGTACAGGGACCCATGACACACTCTGGACCTGGCAGCAGCATGAGGAGGCGGTACAGGGGCCCATGACAGATTACGGGCCTGGCAGCAGCATGAGGAGTCGGTACGGGGCCCATGGCAGATTACGGGCCTGGCAGCAGCAATGGGAGGCCATACAGCACCCTATGACAAAATGGAACCCACCAGCAGTGTGAGGAGACCTGAAAGTGGCACATGGCAGAGTGTGGGCGATGGAGACAGCAGCAATGGGAGGCCGTACAGGGACCCTGACACACTCTGGACCTGGCAGCAGCATGAGGAGGCGGTACAGGGGCCCATGACAGATTACGGGCCTGGCAGCAGCAGCATGAGGAGTCGGTACACGGGG